GGGGGTCCCCGGTGGGTGAGGGCAGAGCCCCGTGTCCCCACACCCAGGGCTGTCCTGGGGGTCCCCGGTGGGTGAGGGCAGAGCCCCGTGTCCCCACACCCAGGGCTGTCCTGGGGGTCCCCGGCTCCCGTGGCTGCCGATGGAGGCAGGGAGGGACCGGCGGCATCCCCGCTCTCAGCCCCTCGCTGCCCCCCCGGCACGTGCTGGCGGGCGGCCGGATCCGGGGGGGCTGGCAGGGCCCCAGTGCCGGGACACGGGCCCCTTGTCCGGCCCCGGGGCCTTCCTGCAGGAAGGGCAGAGACCCGGAGTCCGCCACAAGCCGCCTTTGTTCCCTGCTCCGCTTCCCGGCCGGAGCCGCGGCTGCGGGGCCGGCGTGGGCGAGGGAGCCGCAGGCGGGGGGGCTCCGGCCACGGCCCCTCCCACGGCCCCGCCTGGGGCAGCCCCGGGGCCGGGGCAAAGCCCCTCCGGACCCCCACCCTGGGGAAGCCCACGGCGGGGAGACACGGCCCCAGCCCGGCCCCGGGGGGCTGCACAACAGCGGGCTGGGGGGTCCCGGCTGCACCAAATCCACGGGGATCAAACCAAATGTCCTGCTCCCACTGCAGGGACCCCCACAGCCACGTCCTGCTCCCACTGCNGGTGATGTCCCACGTGGTGATGTCTCACACAGTGATGTCCCACACGCTGCCACAGCCCAGCCCTGCCCCTGCTCCCTGCCCGGCCCCTGCTGTCCCGGTCCAGGCCAGGGGCACGGCATGGCACGGCACAGGATGCTGCCACAGCCTGGCTGGCGTGGACACACCGCCCTGGGGTCAGTGTGGTCCCTGTGCACACCAGCCATGGTGGCACAGGCGCTGTCCCTGGGTCAGGGCAGGCGGGTCCCCACTGGGGGGTCTCTGCACACCTCAGGGGCTGCTGGAGGGATGTGCTGGGCCAGGAAGCTCATCTGGGCTGTGGGTTGGAGGGGGAACCAAGGGTGAGCTGAGTGTGACCCCTCTGCACCCTCTGGCCCTGGGGGGGACCACAGTGATCCAGCCCCAGCCATCCCTGACCCTCTCCCTCCCCGCAGGCTGCTGAGGGGGACGTGAGGGACGCCAGGACGCCGGGATGCAGAGCATCAAGTGCGTGGTGGTGGGCGACGGGGCGGTGGGGAAGACCTGCCTGCTCATCTGCTACACCACCAACGCCTTCCCCAAGGAGTACATCCCCACCGTGTTCGACAACTACAGCGCCCAGAACACGGTGGACGGCAGGACTATAAACTTAAACCTGTGGGACACGGCCGGCCAGGAGGAGTACGACCGCCTGCGGACGCTTTCCTACCCCCAGACCAACGTCTTCATCATCTGCTTCTCCATCGCCAGCCCGCCCTCCTACGAGAACGTCAAGCACAAGTGGTACCCCGAGGTGTGCCACCACTGCCCCAGCGTGCCCATCCTGCTCGTCGGCACCAAGAAGGATCTGAGGAACAACCCCGAGACCATGAAGCGGCTCAAGGAGCAGAACCAGGCGCCCATCACCACCCAGCAGGGCATCAGCCTCTGCAAGCAGATCCGCGCCGTCAAGTACCTGGAGTGCTCGGCGCTCAACCAGGAGGGCATCAAGGATGTGTTCACCGAGGCCGTGCGGGCCGTGCTCAACCCCGCCCCGGCCAAGCCCAAGAAGCCCTGTGTCCTCTTGTGACGGGCGGGCGAGAGACGATCCTGCCCTGCCCCGGCCCCGCCGCCCCCGAACACCAAGTGCCCCCCGAACACCACGTGCCCCCCGAACACCACATGCCCCCCACCTGCCCCGCTGCTCCCCGAGCCTCGGGGGGACCGGGGCCGCCAGCCCGAAGCCACCAGCTTTAATAATACAGACCTCGTTTGCACTAACTGGCCGCCTGCCTCGGGGGCACCGGGGCTCCCCCAGCCCTCAGGACCCCCCCGGCCCCGCGGGCCCCCCGGCCCTGGCTCTCGGTGCTCCTTTGGGTGACGCCTCTCCGGCCCTGGCACGGCAATGCTTCCTGAGAAGGGGTGCCCGGGGTGGCCGAACCTGCTCCTGCCCTGAGCGCCCCACGGGGACCTGCCATCCCCACCCCTGCACCAGCAGGGGCGTGGGGGGACCCCCTGGCCCCTCTGTGCCAGCCCCAGCGCGTGCCCACCCCGGAGCATTTCACTGGCACAGCCCTGGCACGGCCTCGTCCTGCTGCAGGGGCAATGCCAGGGGCTCCTGGGGGCTGTTTGGGGTGACCCCCACGCTGGGGATGTCCGGCCCTGTGGCGAGCGGAGCTGGTGCAGCCGGAGCAGGGAATTCCTGTGCCGGAGCTCCGCAGGGCAGCAGGACTCTCCTGTAACCAGCTGGCCCCCGAGCTGCTTCTGAAATAAAGACCCGCCCATTTCCCCTGTGTCCTGTGCTCTCCTGTGCTCTCCACCTTCCCCAGGCGTGGGGACACTCCCTGGGGGGACACTTGTGCCCCTGTCCCGAGCTGGGCAGGACCCCTCACCCTGCCAGGCCAAGCTGAGGGTGCTCCTGGTTCCTGCTGGGGGTCTCTGCCCAGAGGGAACCGTGGCCGGGGAAGCTTAGGATGTCCCTGCCATGGCCAGCCCTGCCCCCCTCCATCCCTGTGCCCAGCTGAGCCCTCCCGGGAGGCTCGGGGACATTGCAAGGGACAGGAATGGGACATTGCAGGAGGTGGCCAGGGGGCCATTGCACTGGGTGGGAATGGGGACATGGGATGGGGACACTGCAGGGGTGGGCACATGAGCAGGGACCCCTCCCTGGGAGCCCTGGGGCACTCTGGCTCTGGCGCTGCCTCTGGAGCGGGGGGGGTGAGGGCAGAGCCCCGTGTCCCCACACCCAGGGCTGTCCTGGGGGTCCCCGGCGGGTGAGGGCAGAGCCCCGTGTCCCCACACCCAGGGCTGTCCTGGGGGTCCCCGGCGGGTGAGGGCAGAGCCCCGTGTCCCCACACCCAGGGC